GGCCCGCCTTGCGTGCGTCGCCGCCAGCTGCTGGGATCCCCCTCCCCCCTGGGAAGCCGAGGCGAGGGCAGGGTCGCTTCTGCAGGGGGGCTGCGGGCAGCAGTGGGGGACGTGGGCTGGGGTGGTCCTGCCCCGCGGCGGGCTGGGGTTGGGGCTCGGGGCATGCACCTGCCCTCAGGGACGCATGCGCTGCCTGCGCGGGTGCGGGCACTGCCTATAGTGGAGATGGCAACGATGTCTCCGTCTCTGGCCAGCATGGAAAGCTGCCTGGGCTACTGTGGCACGGGGGTCCCCACTTCACAGGTCCAGCACCGTGGGGTGCAGCCTGATGCTCTGGGATGCGAATGGGGAGCTGAAGCCCCCGGGAGCAGCTGTGTGCGGCAGGAGCAGACAGCACTCGCCGGGGCTCCCGCCTGCCTGGGTGCCAGCTCGGCGCAAGGACTGTATGTGATATATATTTTTTTTCCCCCTTTACGTTGAGGTCTTTGGGTCTTGCACAGGCTCTAGCTCCGTGTCCTGGTGGGACCCGCTGCGGCGGGTGGTGGCTGGGGGCCCTGGGCAGGGGACGGGATGGGTTTTGCTTTGCCCGAGCACACTACGGGTGGAGGAGCGGGTCCCGCTCCCAGCCCCGCTGCCCCTTTGCCCTGGGGCCTCGGCGGAGCTGGGATGGCTCTGCTACGGGTTGGTTTTGGTGCGGTTTCACCTGGGGATGGGACGTGCACTGGGGACGTGGTGCTCTTCCCCACTCGCCCTGGCTGTGCCGCGCCTGGCACGCCGCAGGGGGACCTGACCGGGGAAGGAGGATGCTGCAGCAGGAGCATGTGTGGAGGCAAAACACTTCTGCCTTGAACTCGCTGTGTGCTCAGCTCTCCTCCTTCCCACCCGGCTCCCAGCCCTTCCCCAGCGGCACCGTCCCAGCCCGCAGTGAGCTCCGGCAGAGCCCAGCTGAGAGCGCATCCCCGGGGCTCAGCTGGGGGAGATGCGTCGGGGCACGGGTGACGAGCGTTAATTTATTTTCATCATCGCAGCAAACAAGTTGAAATTTGGCAGGAGCGCCGTAAAGCGTCGGGCGATGCGGTGTGCTGGGGCGGGTACCTGCAGAGTCTGTGGAAAAGACAGGGAGGGAATTGCGTGGGCTGCATGCCTCTGAGCCTGGCCATGAAGCCGCAGTCTCTGGGCATCCCTGCGAGGTTGGGGCTGCCCGGGCTGCCCGTGTTGGATGGCTCCTCCTTGTCTGGGCATCACCCCTTTGCCAGCCACCCGGGGGGCTCCAGCCTGGGCACCGCGGGGCGAGGGGAGCAGCTGCTCCTCTTCCTTGGGTGCTGAGTGCTCAGGACCCCGTGCCACCGGTGTCAGGGTGAGCAAGGTGCCCGGGGACCTGCGTCCTCTGGCCGCCCTGCCCGCCGCAGGTGTAACGCACCTTCCCGCGGGTGCCGCGCCGTTCGGTACCTGGGCTCCTTTCCGCTGAGGAACGGTTTGATTTTGCTGTCAGCAGCTTTTCTGGTTGCCGCGGTTGGCAGCGGCAGCGTCCACGCGGGGCTTCCCGGCGCGGTTCCCTTGCGGGGAGCAGGGCCGAGGCGAGCGCCGATTTCTCATTTTCTCTTTCCTGCTGCCTGGCAGGCGACTGGCTCTCGTTTGTGCGGGCCGGGAGCAGGCAGCGGTGGGATGCCCCAGCACGGCTGCCAGCTGCTCGCCGTGTGTCCTCTTTCCCGGCTGCCCTGACCCTGCAGAGGATGCTGCGGGAGAGGGGCCGGGATGTCCCCGTCGGTGCTCTGCTGCCCAGCACCGAGGGGTCCGTGCTGGCGGGAGGGTGGCGGTGCCCAGGCCCCCTGCCCTGCCTGCAGCCCCACACCGGGCCAGGAAGGGCTGCCAGCCCTCCGGGCGGCTCCGCCAGCTGCTGGGATCCGGCTCCCCCCTGGGAAGCCGAGGCGAGGGCAGGGTCGCTTCTGCAGGGGGGCTGCGGGCAGCAGTGGGGGACGTGGGCTGGGGTGGTCCTGCCCCGCGGCGGGCTGGGGGTGGGGCGCGG